AACAGTTTGAAATTGTACTGATTCAGGAATTTACCGGAAACACAGACCAGGACACTGTGGTTTATCATAATCTCAACCCATTAATCACAACACGGTACATTCGTTTTGTACCAGTCGCTTGGAATGGCAACATTTCAATGAGAGTGGAGCTGTATGGCTGTAAGCAAGGTACTAGAAAGGGCATAACATTCCCAAAAACGATTTTAACGACTAAAAGTGTGGTACTTAATTAAAATAATGAAGTGGGTACTCAAGAACATTCGACAAAAGGCGTTTTAGTATTAACAGGGGCCTGGCTCGTCCAACTTGACAAAAAAAGAGTTATGAAATATTCGTTGCCGTGATATATCAATCATGAGAGAGAGTTTCATCATATTTCTAAACACTGGGAAGAATTGAAAAAACGATGCACAAAGGAATATTTTTGAAGATCTGTGAGGTGTTTGGAAATGTGATGAAACTTCGTCTCGAGTGTCTGAATTACCTCCTCAATCAAAACCAAAACTAAGAAAAACAACAGAGATGCAACTCTACGTTCAATCTGTCCTGATAAAAAATCAGATATCCAAACCGCCGTCACAATTATGATCCCCTTGGATACATTTCGCTAAATATTTTTGAAAAAATAATTGAATAATAATTGAGAAATTTTTAGGTACCTCGATCTCCAACAGCGATTTATTTCAAACTTAGAAATAGAAACTGATATAATATAAACGACACGTGTGGGAAAGGCTAATATGTTTCAGTGTTATCAGACCATTTTAAATATTTCTGCGCCAAATAGAGGCGTTTATATAGTGCCCGTCCGAGGAAAATACTCGGATGGATAGTACTCGTCCGTGAAAATGTTTCTGTAAACAATCGGGCTTATAGAAAACAAACAATTGAAATTATATTTAATGGGCTTTGTCTGTTTTCTATTTCAAATTTTTCATTTGGCATTGGTGGTTTTCATTTGAAGATAATTCAATATGATTTTTGAACTGGCGCGCGGAAGAAAATTTAGCGCTGAACAATAGAGGCAATAGGGTGTTTAGGCTGATTTAGCAAGAGAACGGGAATGTCACTTGACGACGGCGCGCGCAGTACAAATACCCAAATACGGTCAAATTAGAACAGAATCCAGGTTATTCCGTGCGCCCTGCAGTCGTCATCTGACCATATTTGGGTATTTGTACTGCGCACGCCGTCGTCAAGTGACGTCCCCGTTCTCTTGCTAAATCAGCCTTTTATGTCTCGGAACTATCAGCCTCTGATAGTTGCCCCTTGGAAATTTGATGTTCTTAAAACTAGCATATTCGTCACAATTAAGATCTTCTTCGTTACATTTCTCTAATTATTAAAAAAATTGAGAAATTTTGAGGTAACTCTCCACCAACGATTTATTTCAAACTTAGAAATACAAACTGATATAATATAAACGACACACGCGTGGGAAAGGCTAATATGTTTCAGTGTTATCAGACCATTTTAAATGAAACTTCCCACATAGGAAACCCCGGGAGCACAATATATAGGCACTTGGTTCTGTTATATTCAACCTGGGCAGAAAAAAACAATATTCTTCAGTTATAGAAAAAAAAAAAGAGTGCATGTCAGAGTGAAAAGTCTTACATCATTCCAAAAAGATGTTTTCCAGTTACCTTAGATTCTTTTCATTGCTCTAGATATAGATGAGTGTACCAACGGAACACACAGCTGTGATGTTAATGCTGTGTGTAACAACACCCGGGGATCCTATAACTGCACTTGCAAAGACGGATTTTATGGAGATGGAATAAACTGCACAGGTAACTATCTGTAACACAGTTTGGTTTAATGCATCTCTTGCCTCAAGGCTTAAAGTATTAATTTTAATAGACATCGGTCAGCTTATATATGAAGCACACTATATCAGAGCGAAAATTTCTTTTAAGCACTACCATTTCAATAAGCGTTTTTTAGTTACATTCCTTTTGTTGTTCAAGATATCGATGAGTGCACCAACGGTACACACAGCTGTGATGTTAATGCTGTGTGTAACAACACCCGGGGATCCTATAACTGCACGTGCAAAGATGGATTTTATGGGGATGGAATGAACTGCACTGGTAAATATTTGAAACACAGTTTGGTTTAATGCGCATGCATCTCTTGCCTCGTAGTTTAAGCGACTATTCAAAAGCAAGTAATTTTATTAGACATTGGTAAGCTCATACATGAGGCATCAGAATGAGGCACACTTGTGTATTTCAAAGCGAAAAGTCTCGTGATAACACCATTTCGATGAAACATTTTCTAGTTAGGTTTCTTTTGTTGTTTTAGATATAGACGAGTGTGCCAACGGAACACACAGCTGTGATGTTAATGCTTTGTGTAACAACACCCGGGGATCCTATAACTGCACGTGCAAAGATGGATTTCACGGAGATGGAATGAACTGCACTGGTAAATGTTTGTAACACAGCTTGGTTCAATGCATCTCTTGCCTCGTGGTTTAAACTACTATGCAAAGCGCTTGATTTTAACAGACATTGGTTAACTCGTACATGAGGTCGCAGGATCAGGCAAACTATATCAGAGCGAAAAGTCTCGTGACCACACCATTTAAATAAAACGTTTTTGAGTTAGATTCCTTTTGTTGTTTTAGATATCAATGAGTGTACCAACGCAACACACAACTGTAGTGTTAATGCTGTGTGTAACAACACCCGGGGATCCTATAACTGCACGTGCAAAGATGGATTTCGTGGAGATGGAAAAACTTGCAGAGGTAACTATTGCCATGTATTGTGTTTTGATTTACCACAGCGAGTAATTACAAACTTGGAAATCGGACAATTTACGAGAAAATACAATACAATGCAATGCAATGGAATTCAAGGGAAAACGATGGCGGCTGTACCTTTACCACAATGCCATGCGAATCTAGCACAGCCAATCAGGCACAAGTAAAGCAATATATATTTGCATCATTTATCTCAGCAGTAAGGACAGTAAGTATATTAGATTTGAAGACGTTAGAACTTTTATGAACGTCATTATGAGCGTTTTAAAGGTTTCCATGCGCCAAGAGTTATCGGTAAATGTACCCTGTAGTCGGTTTTTTTTCCTACAGAGGATTTGCCCGGTAAGTGATAGCTGAAGGCGAGCCGTTGTAACCACTTTCAGAAAACACCTTGAAAGGAGCCTTGCTCTGAAAGCCTTTCTATGAAGCAATTAGATTATGAGCTCGAGATTTCTATCGCGTGATAGTTGACGATGGCGCAGCTCGAGTAATCTAATTGTTTTAGTATAAATCTACTACAGTAGTCGTTCAAAACTTTATTGAAATCCTCTTCACAGACACTTCCAAAACGCCAAGAAGCGGCCTTCATCTTCTTAACAGGGGCACACTGCTACGCTACTCAGTATCTATCACAGAACAGATAGTGAGTAGCGCAGCCAATCAGAGAACGGCATTCGTGATAGAACTCTTGTATATTTATACTAAAACCCATTATAGTACTGATGGGTTAATCCTTATTAAAGATTCGTTTATTATTATTATTATTATTATTATTATTATTATTATTCACCAGAAAATTTCTTCGATTCGTTTTGGTTTATATTGACCACGTAATGCGATATTAGGGAGCTTAAGCAAACAAAGACGACGACGGCAAGGAGAACGTCACCAAACAAAAGGTTTAATGAGCAAAACAATAACTGTGGACGTGCGTTATAAATCTTTGCACATTTCTCTGCCGTCCTCTGCAAAATAACAACGTGAAATGACCAATTAAACAAGTTCTGCGTCGTCTACTGAACGTGGACGACGACGGCTAATTTTTTGTATTTCCATTTGAAAACGCTGTCATTACATATTTAGCCTTCGCGCGTTTTTACGTTTCGAACAGATCTAGACAATCGCGAGTTTCGCTGGTGAAATATAAATTCAATTTTTACTAGGCGTCGTCCTCGGCGTCGTCCTCGGCGTCGTCCTCGGCGTCGTCCTCGGCGTCGTCGGCATCATTGCTTAAGCTCCCTAATATTCATCGGCAGAAAGACGCTATCTGAAAAAGAGGAAAATACCCGAATGGATAGTACTCGTCCGTGAGAATTTTTATGTAAACAAGCGGCTTATTAAAAATGAAAATTGAAACGCTTTCACGACTTTCAACTTAAATATATTGAAATAATTCAATACGATTTTACTGCCGCAACTGTGCACGGTGAACAATAAAGACAAGAGTGTGTTTATGTCTCGGAACTATGAGTCTGCTAGTTGCCCCTCGGTAATTTGATGTTCTTAAACTAGCATATTTACGCTCGAAGCTTCGCTTCTCGGGCTAATGTTTGTTTTAAAAACATAAAATTTCCGCTGGGCAACTTTCAGCCGACTGTTCCGAGACATAGGCACACTATTGCTGATATAAGAATGTAGACAAGAGACGTTTGACGGTTGACGCAAATAAGATGGCGTGAGCAAATAAAATTTAGCTTTTGATACTCGAGGCATGCTGGCACTAACTTAATATCATTCAAACACTTCACTTGGAATCAATGTCGCCCGAATTGTATCTGGTATCAAAGCGTGCATTCTTAATACGGATCGACCGAGTTTCAGCGTTTTGGTATTAAACCTTAAGTATAGCCTGGCGACGCATGCGTAAGCACAAACACAGGAATATACCAATCGTGATCCTTTTCTTGGTTTATATAACGACCCTCAAGTTTATTCTTTTGTTGCTCGCTTAGAAAGCTGAGCAACCATAACAGTAGAAACGAGTTCCTTAATTGTAACTACGCTGGTTGACCGATCTTTTTATTTGGCTGCCCAAAAATTATGGAAAAATCTTCCCCCTTTTATTGTAAATAGTTTTAAAAAGTCTCTTAAAACACATCTGTTTCAGAAAGCGTTTCTTAGCTAATTTTATACTATTATTTTACAATTTTATTAGTGCATATCATAATCATTGTTGTTAATTTTAACAAGAACTTGTATTAGAGATGTTTTCAGGATTTTTGAGTAACAGTAAGGCTCTATAAGTAGTTATAATTTCTTAAACATTGCATTGCGCGGCTGAAAATGTTAAATTGATATCTGCGCAATACAAGTTAATTATTATTATTATTATTATTATTAACTGGAACCGTGGTAGCAACGCAAGTAAAAGCCAAACATGACAGATCAGTTACCTGACAGATTAGTTGGCGTGCTGAAGTGGAATGCGGTAAAGATCTTTTAGTTATTTTGGTGGGTTAAAAAAGAGTGACTGTGTGATGTGATAAAATGAAAATGTTAGAACGTTTATTTTCAATTTTTTCATTACTGCTGATGTAGCGTGGCCGACTCAGTGGTATGGAGCGGCGCTAGTTTAAATAATCAGGAGGTCCCAGGTTCATAGTCCTCCCCCTTTCCACGAGTAAGATTTCATTAGATGGCAATTTGGCGCTAGCCCTTCCTTATTAGATACCCAATTTATTTTCAGCCATAAGCTTTGGACTGTTATTGTTTCTTAATTACCCAGGATTCAATGCTACCTTTACAAGTCTCGGAACTAGTGGAAAAGATGGTCCAACGTCACTCGGTAGTTACTACACAGGTCAGGATCATGACTGTCAAGTTACACTGTCCGACGGCATTCAACAGTGGACTGTGCCGTACACTGATCAATACAGAATAGAAGCAGTAGGAGCTGCAGGGGGATACAGCAAACATCATAACGACGGTCAATATCGAGGAAGAGGTGCCAGAATGGCAGGCACTTTCAACTTATCCAAAGATGAACTGATTCAAATTCTCGTTGGTCAGGAGGGAGGAATAAGAAACCAAGGTAGGAGTTCTGGAGGTGGTGGAGGAACATTTGTAGTGAGAGGAAGGAATACTTCTTTGATAGTGGCTGGAGGAGGTGGAGGCCTCAGAGCTGTAACAAAAAGACACCAGGGATGTGATGCCAGCATAAACACAACAGGGAATCCTGGACACAAATCATGGTCAGGAGGCAGCAATGGACACGGTGCAATGAGTGGTGATGATAAGCCGTCAGGTGAGGGTAAAAATGAGAATGATTTTATTTACTTCACCAGAGTCAGTTGCCGACGAGACACATTTGATTTGCAAGCAGTCGATTCATCGGCTTTAAATATTTACCTCAAAACCTCCTCGATGTTGGGTAAAATCGTTTTTTCATCGGCAGTGCAACTTTTAAGGTCAGTCGAAATACACCTTTCAAATTTCGGAAGCTGCCGAAAATTTGGTCGACAACAACAACAAAAAACAACTATTTTACTTGTTATTGAAAGGTAGTGAAAATATTGTTTGGAAACCCTCCTATTATATCATTTCTGGACAAACCTCCATTGCATGGCACTGCTAAATTTGGAACCGTTAAATATAAGTATGGGAATGAGTCAGCTGATTGTATTTTTTTCAGGTGGCGGCGGCGGTTTTTACTCTAGCGGGAGAAATGGAACGCCGCCGGACAGAGGTGGAGAAGGGGGTGAAGGATTTCTTCAAGGAGGAGTGGGTGGAAAATCTAAATGGAGAAGGGCAAACGGTGGTTTTGGAGGGGGTGGTGGTGCGGGTTGGGGTGGAGGCAGTGGTGGAGGCGGTAATGGAGGCGGTGGTGGAGGCGGTGGTGGAGGGTACTCCGGAGGAAGCAGTGGGAGTAATAAAAAGGATTCCTGTGGAGGAGGGGGAGGTTCCTATAATGTTGGAAAAGATCAGCAAAGTGATTGCTGTTACAATGCAGCTGGTCATGGCAAGGTGATCATTACATTACTGTAGAAAAATAAACCACGTACCGCTGTATTTTCAGCTATAGAACTGTTATTATATTAGCTATAATTTTTTTGCCTGTAACTGTCTTTGACTCCTCTCACATGTTGATAGATTCAGAAGAATTGATCACTATATAAATTCCCTTTTAAGAGTGTTTTTTGATATATTTTTTATTTGCGCTGGCATACTCACAGAGAATCAGTTTAACCAAACATAGTAATTTATACTAGGCTTGTAATCCGAAGCGGATTACTCGCTAAAGGCGAAAAGCTTTTCCCAGAGGGTAAATTACTTTGGCATGTCTTCGTTTTGCGCGTATAATTTTTATGTAGATTATTGACAGTCGTGGTTGGGAGTTTTCGACAGTTTCAAAGCTCTCCAGAAAATAAAATAGGTCGTTTTTTTACCAGGAAGATTCCCCGAGTAGATTAAGTTAACACGGTTTATAATGTTTATTACGTGGTCCACACAATAAACACTATAAACCGTGTTGACTTAGTCTGCTCTAAAATCTTGACATCATACATGTACAGACTTACTGGTTGCATGGTTGATGACAGGTTCTAGCGAATGCATAAATACATATAGTCTTAATTACTTGTTTGCCATAAAGTAATATCTCTCTTGTAATATGCGCAAGTATAGATTACCTCTAATATATTAGCATTTCTTTGTAATGTTGGATTATATATTCATTATCATAAGTTTGTTTAGTTGTCTAAGAATTCGCTTACACCGAAGCAAAGACAATTTTAAAAGCTATTTATTTCGTGATGCGGATAGTGATGCATAGCTTCTGTGCATTAGTTACATTTAAGATTTGATGATTTTCACGTTCCAAGGAGGAGGCTTGCTTTGAAATTTGTGTAAATCTAGGCTTTCAGTTATGCTACTGATTTTGAATTTTTTAAAATCTTTTTTCGCTAAGCATAATTTAGATGGTCTAAATGGGGTAGTATAACTTCTATTGTTATACCTCCCAGATCAAATACGTTTTCCGATTTGAGGAGAACACGTCACGTGCCGTGGGTCAAAACTCACTAACTTCCTAGGGAAACAACGACCTGTGATCAGGTCGTGCACCCTCGACCCTCAGTTTTCCCCTCGGCTTCGCCTCGGGTAACACTGAGGATCTCGGTGAAACAAAACTCACTGTTTCCCTTGGGGCCAGTCATTAAGTGCTTATTACAACATAGCACGCACGCTAGTCCTACCTAATTCCTATTGAGCCATCATAAACGAAATCTCTGCACGCACGGCGGTGCGTATATAACATGATGTGTGTAGTTTCAATTTTCCGTCTAGTTTAGTGCAAGTTCCTTTTGTTGTTTCGGCAGCGTGAAGATTACTCTGAACAGTTCAAACCATACTTTGAGCCTTTGACTTTTGCCAAACTAAGATGTTTACTTGAACTTGAGTATTTTGACTTAATTTGTCCACATTTTTATTGAGTATTTTCAACTTTGTCTGCCTGCATTTTCATTATAATTACTTCGAAGAAGCGAAATGTTCATTGACAACTTTAGAAACCAGGTTGAGCGTTTTCGTTCAACTGTTGCTCAACTGGTTGTGGCGTGTTAGGATCCTAATGAGCTTTGTATTCCTTCACCGTGCATTGTGAAAGCTTTGTAATCAATTACAAATAAAACGTGTTTTAGCGCCCAATTGTTGTCGCCATGTTATAAAAGAATTGGTTCATGCTTTTAGCATAGTTAATTAGTTTTGCGTATATCGAGTTATGGCTGCAGTTCGGAGGTTTGGAGAGCATACACTCAAGAAGTTAGAGTTGCTCTCGGCTATCGACTCGAGAAACTCCTACGCTTCTTTCGTGCTCTCCAAACTTCCCAATTGCATCCATAACTCGATATACGCACACTAAGCGTGAACCAATTATTTAAGAGCTCGCTCGAGCATCATAGTACTGGAAACTTTGTGTGCAGATATAATTAAAAAAAAAAAGTTGTCCAGTCTTCTGGTTTCTTCTCTTTCGAAGTAGTCCTACTATTAGGCTACTATTTTGTAACTTCCGTTACTTCGACAGCATTTTAAAACCAATTTGACATTCGATACAGTTTTTTCTGAACCATACCAAGCATTTTCAATCAGCTTTCAGATAGTCTTCGTTTAATCGGATCGACCTGAAAATTACACCGGCTGATCTTTCAGCTGGTATAATCGATATTTTCACGGAAACGATAAGCCAAAAAAATGAAAATCGGTGAAACATGAATTTTAGGCGAACCAGACGTGAAAAAGCAAATACCAGTGCCTTAAACTATGGTGTATTGCAAGTACATGTAGAATATACACGATTAAAAAAAATCTATGTATGTTTGATCTCGAGATAATCGCAAAAACATTTCAAAGCATACTTTTTGCATCATCACAATAAATAAAACTGCAGCTGAACACTATTTTGATGACATTGCTTCAAATAATACCAAAATGGTATCAAAAAGTTTTGTTCGTTTTCTTTTTTGCGATCTCAAGAACAAAACTTTTTGGTTTTACGTTTTCATGGAAATATCAATTGTCGTAAGAAATACATTATACCAAAATTCAATCCATTTCCAATTACTGGTGTAATTTTCATATCGACCCGATTATAGGAAGACTGTTTAAAAGCTGATTAAAAATGCTTGGGATGAGGAGTAAAAACTGCATCGAGACACCCTAATTGCTAAAAACTAATTGGATCAAACGAACAAAGTCGACTGTCTCCTCTTTGACCGTTTCCTCTTTTTTTTAGCCTGTTCATACCTCACGCTATCGCATTCTTAACTCCTGATCCAAAGGTTTGGAATCAGTCTTGCTCAATCTCGTTCCCAGAATCTTCGTTCCCCTTGACCAGCGGTCGGAAAACGAGAGCTCCGGTCGCAATCATTTTGAAATAACCGAATTCTGGTGATTCCGCCTATCCGGTTTCACTGCGCAGTCTGCATCTATGGTGCATGCTTGAGAAGGTTGCTCCCAGAGCTCTCGTTTGCCGACCGCTGGTCAAGGGGAACGAAGACTCTGGGAACGAGATTGAGTCTTGCTTAGCTAGAGAGCCCGTGGCACTCTTTTACGCATGTGCTGTGATCTGATCTTAACCAACGGTTCAATTTTCAAAGTTGGCTTTAGTGAGGGAAATTCTGTTCTATTGATCTTGTGACAACAGTAAAAGTTAATTGTAGGAACGGCATTCCATAAACTATTTGACAGTTGAGGAGTGTTTTCACAGCATATTTTGTATTTTTTTGTGAAGATCATAGAGAAATGTCCACGAGGAAAGGTATATGAAGAGGCTCGTTCCATACAAAGATTCAAAGAGGGGACAATAAAACTTCGAAACGGAAAAGATTTCTGTAAAGCAGCACTGTACGGGTCCGCAAATCATCCCAGGACCGCAAATGATCCCAGACCGCAAATGATCTCCAAATTGAACCGCAAATGATCTCGGACCGGAAATGATCCCCATATTGGACCGCAAATGATCCCGACCAAAAATAAGGAATGGCATGAATTTATATCAGAGGAAGGTGAAAACATATATAAAAATTACAAACTAAATAACATTTTTATCATTTTACAAGAAGTATTCCTCAGCTGCTTTTTGTTCTTCGAAGGGTATTGACTTAGAAAAACACATACTAGTGCACATCCTCGAAATCCCGGTGGCGATAGTATCAAACATAGGTGAAACGGAAGTTAATGTCGTCTATCCAGCTAATTGTCAAAACGAAGCGCAAGGCACTGGAGATATGGCCTTGCTTGGTCACGAAGCTGAACTTCATGACTATAGCTTGGAACTATTGGCTTCGCAGAATACTCAACTAGCCATTCCCGAGAAATTAAAGCAAAAATACGACCAAGGAAAAATCAGAAAATTAATTTGTCCAAAATGTGGAAGAAATTCGAGGGCTACACAAGTAGTGTTTTACAGAGCGATGAGGCGTTGTAGGTCTACTCAGATGACAGCGTCTTCAGTAATAGTTGCTTCATGGTTAGATTTTAGTTTGAAACTTTAGACGAGTGACATTAATGGCTGATAAAATTTGATTTAACTATAACACCGAAATATCAGTGTTTGGCTAAGGAGGATATGTAGCGTATGTCGGTTGCATTGAATCAAAGTTGGTCATAATTTTGCTGAGAATTGCAAAGAAATGCAATCCAAGTCATGCTTTGATGATTGAGTGGTGCAATTCATAGCATCGTAGTTAGCAACAAAATTAAGTCGAAAGTATGAAAAAAGGCAAGTTGTGAGCCATTATTAACTACTTAATAACCGAGAATGAGGTCGTTACGGGAAAATCTCAAACTGAGGCCTTGCCGTATTGACCGAGCGATAGCGAGGTCAATAC